TTATTTTTTGCTATTTTATATTAGATTAAATACAGTAAATTTTAATATTACAATTAATATTAAAAATATTTAATATTAAAATTCAGACCTATATTAATATGAATATTTTTTTATTTTTAAAATTTAAATTGATAATTAAAGAATATATGTAAATTTTTACTAAAATTTGTATTTAAATAATAGGCAGAGAAAATCAGAATATCTAAAGATAATTTTTTTATATAAAAAAATGCAAACTTAATATAATACAAAAAAATTTGATTCAAACTAATAATATATAATTCCAATTGTTTATTTTTTAATTATATGTCTTACTAATAACTTTTTAAAATATTACACTTCTATGTATAAAAAAAACTTTTTAAAGATTTTAGTTTTTTTTATCTATTACTATTCTTAAATTAAGGTTTTAACTTTATTTTTTTTAGCATCAGTTATATATAATATTTAATTATTAATCAAAAAAGATTAAATATTATATGTAATTGTAATAAATTAAAATTAAATATTAATTTAGATAAAATTCTATATTAGAAGTAATAATTATATCTACTATTATAATTTAAAATAGGATCATTAATAATTTATTAAAAATTAATTGCATAATTAAACAATAATAATTGTATATAATATAATTATAGATATAGTATACACAATATAATTAGTAAATATAATATATACAGTATAATGCAATTAGAGATATAATATAATTAATGTAATTAATATATATAGCATAATTAGTATAGTTAGTAAATATAATATAATTAGTATAGTTGGCAGATATAATATAATAAGTATATTTAATATATTTAGTAAAAAGAAAAGTATATAAGTAATATACTCAAATGTAAAAAAAAGAAAGTTTTACAATATTGTAATAAAGAATATCTACCTTATACATTCATCAAATCTAATACCTCTTTTGAGTATTATAACATCCAACATTATATGAACAACTTATAACTATTCAATAAATAGAAAATTCTAGATGGTTTTACAATATATCATAACATTATATAAAGTTAAGTCAATAAAATTAAAAAACTTTTTAATAAACTTTTTAAATTTTTAAACAAAAATAACAATAAATCTTAATAAAATTAATAATTTTTTTAAATAAATACTATAAAATTATAAAATTTATTTAATGAAATTTTATTAAATTTAACTAAAATTTGATCAAATTATTTTTTATTTAAAGTTTTAAAAAAATTATATTAAAAAAGTTTTGCTTGATTTTTATTAACTTAATCTTATATAATAAAAATTTTATTAATATCTACTTTTTTAATATTAAACTATATATAAAAAATAAAACAATTAATAATTAAATAAAAATTTATAATTTTTTAATTATTTTTTATTCTTGTCTTTATTACAAACTTTTTATCTTTTACTAATTTTATTATATTTTTCTAATTTCATTATCTTTTATTAATTTTGCCAATTTTATTTAATTTTGTCAGTTTTGCAAGTTTTACTAGTTTTGCCTGTATTGCCAGTTTTACTAATTTTGTCATTTTGCCATTTTAAATTTTTTTTGGCAAAAGCTCTAGGTTTTGTCTAACAACACTAGTTCAGAGTCAATGTCGGTTGATCCTGGATTGGCTGTTTCTTTTTAGGAGTTTGTATTACCGACATAAATAAGCGACCTGAGATTTTGTTTGTAACACTGGAAGGATTTAATATGCATGAAATCATATGACCAAGAGTCATTTCCGCCATAACTGATCTACCTGACGGGCTGATTCATCCACTTCTACACAACCGTAGGTGACACGGGTGTACCTACTGGTTCCAACCTCCATAATAATATATCGTTAAGGAAACAAGAGTTTAAACCATCATTGTTACTTAAAAGCAATCTAATTATGATTCTTAACAATATATTTTTTAAACTCTTCCAAGTTCTCTACCAATTTTATTAATAAAACCAACTTTGTAAACATAAATGATAATCTACAGCAGAGACAGTACCCAATCCAAAGTGAATCCTTCTCGCCTGTGGTCAATCACAAATTAAATAATTATATTGGATTAAATTGTGATGGATATAATCTCTCATCAGTTTTAATATATGTGTAGCATTAACGGTCTCTGCTGTTATAATAATCATATTAAACAGTAATTTAAAAGCGCTATAATACTATCTAAGTTGTATGGCAAATTAAAATTTGCGTCAGATCATAAGGTTAATGTGAAAACTGATGCTAAGATTGGTATTAGCATGATTTCAATTATTTTAAATTTGATGCAGATATTAATTTGACCATCATATCATTTTTAATATCAATTACATCTTATTTGATGTTAAATAATAATTCCTTTATGCTTCAGTTGTAGAGTTTAACATGTATTTTTTAATGAGAACCTCTAATATTTGTTATTTCTGCACAGTTTAACATAAAGAATAGAGCTCTGCATGTGCCCATACCGGGCACTAATGCCCGTGCCATAGGCACAAAAGTGCCAGCCTAAAAAAGTGTTATGCCTAAGAAAGTGCCCGTCACTTGTATTATAGCGCCTGGCACTTTAGGTCTGGCTGCGTGTCTAGTAATTTTAAGCCAAAACCGAAATCAGGAGGCAGAAATATGCCAGGCCAGGCATTTTTATGTCAAAAAAAAAAAAATGCCTATGCCCATGCCAGTACCTTAAAATTTTTGTTAGGCACGGGCACATGCTGGGTTGCAGATCCCTAATAAAGAACCCACAGATTTTTTTTTTTTTACCTCCCTTCGCTATCCTGAAGGTCCTTAGACACCTTTAGGATCTGTCACATTTCTTAAAGGCCAGAGTTATCATTCTGCGAAGATCATTGGACGGCGTGTGGCCCCCGCATGTCACCGAACTCGTGAGATAACTCATGCTTCATCAAGTCCGCCATATGACGTCCCGGGTCCCTGGCCCCGCGGTGTAAGACCTACTATCCTTTTCGGTCCGCAGTTCCCTAACTTCACATGACCCACTAGCCGGATCGTCCGTATATTTCAAAGTCCTTAATTCTACCGTTATGTATTCTTAAATCGGGCTCTCTCAATGTTAGCGTCATTTGTTGACGGATTACGCCTTATCTGGTTGTCCCTGACCCTGTGGCTATGCCGGTGACTGCATTCTTTTTGTATGAATCTTGTTCTTGCTTTTAAATGGAAATCCTTTGCAGATCTTTTTTCCAATCGTGGTCCTGGCAGAGTTGTTGTCGCCCTTTGAACTCGAACTCGCGACCTTGCGATTGAGACCCGGGAGCGCTAACCACTGCGCTATCGACCCACGGGTCGAACCCACAGATTTTGAGTTTAGTGCTCAAATAAAAGAAAAGAGTGTATATGTATTATTGAAGCAATATTACAAAATTGCCATACAAAAATAAACAGTTAGAATCGCAATTTACTGTAGAGCGCTACATCCAGTACCTGGAGTATAAATTAGAACTATCTAATTTATTTTTATTTGAAGAGAAGGGTACAATCCAAAAGGTATCTTTAGACATTAACTAATATTACGAACCTGGTGTTAACTGTTAACTTAGGGTGTTCTCAAGCAGCTTCCTCAATGTGATTAACGATGTTGCTCAAATTATTACGATTAATTGAGTGGTTAATACGGTTAATCGAAGACAACTTGTTAAAAATTCATTGTGCGAAATGTGGGTTCTAAATTTTAGCTAATCAAAGCAACTCTATAAAAAAAAAGGTCTACATCTCCAGGTTTCATTCATCGAAATGATAACTCACTTGTTTGGTTTATTCAATTTCCGACTTAATTAAAAGTTTGCCTCAGATCTATTGATTGAAGTGCTTGAGAACACCCCTAGTCGGAGGTACACATGGTGATTAATTCTGATTGGTATATGGCTATTGAAATCAAGATGAAACTCAAGATTCCTTCGATATATAAACATTGACACTAACTGGACATTTGGAAAACGATTGATTAATTAGGACAGTATTTAAGAATCCTCTTTATTAGAATGAACATCCATCTTCTACTTTAACATCGAAGGGCGCCAGCCTTTCATAATGAAATTATCCTCTAGAAACACCATCCGGGATTACCACTCAAAGAGATAGTGGTAATACTAATTAATAAATGTCCAAATCTATAAATTCAGGATTACTAATATCCATTGTTAGGCCAACGACGTGATTCAAATAAGCTGTGGAGTGTCACGTGCGAGCGGGTAGGAAGATCAATTACTTAATATGGACATCCCGGCAATTAATCCACTAAATCGATGTCTTAAATATATCGAGGAAGGGAGATATAATAGTATAAAGGGATTTTATAATTATAAGAGTTTAAATAGATAAATTAGAGTGGTCGGATTAAATAAAGAAAATGTAGATGCGAGATTTGTGCAGTAAAATAAGTTGTAATTAAAATAAAGGGCATTATTGCCCCGAGAAAAGATTAAGTCTCGTTTTGCTTTATTAAATAATAAGTCTACACATTATACATCGCCCATAATATTACATTAATCCTCTACCCAGTATAAACCATATAAAAATCGTTGTTCGTTCAAGTTCTTGATCACGTGACTTACACTACTGACCTTCGTTAACCCCAAGTAACCAATAGCCTTAATCACCCACCAACCAAATCTAACACCCTCTTTCGTAAAGGTTACTTATCGTTGGTTACACGAGATTCTGGATTGTGGAGCGACCGAGTCGCAGTTTTCTGAACACGACCTATATCGAGTAACCAAGAATTCCCTACCCTTAATATTACTGGCTCATTTATATTGACCAATTACATGATATTTCTCAAATCTGATAACCGCCCAAAACCGATACAAAACCTATTTACCATATACATCGGTTTTGAAACGATTAACAGTATAATTCAATTATTCAAAACTTTAAATTACAAAACGTGGGTACTGGAAAAGTACTGACTAGTTATATATATAAAGATTCCTTCTAAGAAAAGAATAATGATTTATTCGTAATTATGAAATAACCATGATTTATCCAGAACTCTGTAAATTACAGAACTTTCTATTATTTTTCAGCAATAGACTTAAGAGAAATTGGTAAATAAACAATTACATTCGGGCGTTTTGAATTTTCTGAATTTAATGACCCATAAAAAATTTTATCGGCAATGATATTAATAAATCCTAAAGGTTGACAATCTTCACAATCATCATGGTTAAAGATTTGATTCACCAAAATTAAACTATCATTAGAGATTTTAATTCCTTCACTACTATATAAAATTTTCTTATTTGGCCTATTCTTCCATTTAATTTCAACTTGATGAGAATTTGTTTTATCGAAAACACTATAATTAATGAAATATTATTATTAATTAGAAATAAAGGTAAACCGAGTTTTTGAATAGATTCAGATGCCAAACCATGGTAATGATAGTAAAACAACTTTAATAAATTTGATAATTTCAAACTTTGATAAAGTTTTGCAGTGTAAGCTTTGAAAAAAATTCAGTATTAACTTAAGAAACCTCGCTTAAAATGTTTCTACTTATATACTGAACATTTATAAATATTATTTGGGTATGGTATTGACAACTGAAACTTTAATAAGCAAATGTGATCTCTTATTATAAAATTTGAGAAAATTATAATATTACAGTTGACCACTGCCTACAGTACCTAGAGTCTTATTCAAGAGCATTTTCTTAAAAATGAATAACATCAGGTACATACCAACTTCACTGATAGAGTACTTATGAAATAGGATAATATTTTGGAAGATATTGTAAGCAGTGGTCAGCAATATTATACAGTACTTACCAACTGTAGAAAGACAATCTTTTCAAGACTTCTTCGTTGGTTACTGGTTCTTTTTTTTTAATGTCATAAACAAACCACTGTGCAAGCTCTTGACATGCAGGCTCTTTGCGTATGAGGTAATTGCCAGTGACAAGCGAAAACTTACTTGGGTCGTGCTCTATTGGAAAAGTATCCGTTTCTTTATCTGAGCTATTTTCTGCTTGAGTAATATTAATCGCTTCTAAAACGCAAGTGCCAAACATGCCGTCATCGTTACTTATTATAGGCACTTCATCTTTAAGAAGTTTATATTTCTTACTTTTAAATATCGGTGGATATTTTGTACTAAAATCGAAGCTTGTTTGTGGTCCAACGATAATCCATCCGAGTTTAATTTTAACTTCTTTAACTTTATTATGAGATATTATAGTCTTTTCACCTTGAATATGATGAATAACAATCACAGGTCGGTTTTTATCTCCTCCCATATAATCCACATGTAGTGAAAATACATTGTATTCCTTGCTAACAATTGATGCAAGAATATTGCACTCGCTTATATTTTTAATTTTTGGCAACTCTTTATAGATATACGGTTTTTTATCTTTTTCATATTTTTTTGTGTTGAAAGAGATTTCATCGATTTTGGCTATTATTAACCAAGATATTTATAATCAAAATTTTAATTAAAAATATAAATAACTTTATATGAATGATATTAAGCTTTACCTTCTAAAATTTGATGGCCCATGATGTTCAACACTTCTGTTTTTAATTCATTATCTAATAATTCAAATAATGAATAAACTTCAGCGTATCCGATTATTTTCCACTTAGTTTCATCATTAAGAGATTGTCTCCAAAGATCTTTATTTTGAGAATTTTCTGTTCCACCAATAATGGTTTCGAAGTTATTTGTATTGTCATGATAATTATTATCCATATTCATATTGTCATGAACAACATTAACCTCAGATTTAAGAATGCTTGCAATTTCGACTCCACCTTGTAGATTAGTAGCTTTTGCCTTGGATTTTTTAGCTACGAAAGATTGAATATTTATTTAAGTTAAAAAAAATCAATAAAGTAGTATCTTAGTCTACACAAGCGCTTAATCTCGTTACATCACAAGACATGGATTCTAATTCCAATAAACACACCTGAGTTTTTAGTATATTCCTCATTCCTTATTCTTGTTCCACCTAAAATAAGACGCCGTGCATAAAAATGACCATACTTTTCTGATATTTCGCAAAGTTTACTTATTTTATTGTCATTAGTTGTATCATTCACCACATTTTTGACATCTTCCTTAAACTTTGTTTCTATAATAATATTTTCATTTAAAATAGGTATTACACCTCTTATTGCCCGTTCACATGAATGTCTGGTATTCATCATATGTTGCTTAAGTATTTGGCCTGAATTTTCATGCGATAATTTAATAGAAGCAGAAACCCATTCTGGAAAAGCAGCTGAAAGATTTACATCAAATATAAGGGATCGTTTACATTCTGCAGTTGTTTCGTGATTGCATTCATATACTTTTTCATGTTGCTGGTATTGTTTATTTATCTTAATTTTATCAAAATTGATTTTGAATGCTTGAACATATGCACTAGTTACAGAACTATCTTTATTAAATTTGAATCCTTTTTCAAACTTTAATTGGGTTAAATCAAATTCAGCCTTCTGAATAATATATAAACGATGTTTACCATCCTTTTGGTCAACGATATCTAAAAGGCGGAATTTAGATTCATCATCTGGTTTAATTTCCGCTTTGTCTTGTAAAAAATGTAAAAAACGACAATTTGATCCCATATAGAGATCATTATCACTATCGTATTCATTTTTTAGGAGTATTTTGCGAATATCGTCAAGCTTATTGTTTCGAGGTAACTGTATGAAGTATGTATTTAATTCTGAGTTAATTTTATACGATTTAATGACTATAACACCCATCATATTGTTTGCGTCATCCATAGTTTTGTCTTCATTTCCGCTGTTTTTATTTTCATTAGTTGTTATCGTTGTTATCGTTGACATTTTTAATTTTACTTTTGGTATCCAATTTATGAAATAGGTAACAATTGTATATTCGTGTGAACATATGTCCGGGAAACTTATTTTTGCGAGGATATAAATCCAAAATAGGAACTTAACGCAAAAAAAACTTTAATTCGAATATTGAGGTCGGGTTGGGGTTGGTTAGAAAAAAACAAGTGATTCTATCTGCTTTTGCTGATCTAGATAAACAAGATTTGTCTACTGCCTTCTTTTTAAGCACCACACGCACAAATAAACTTTGTATGTACGTACATGCAACTTAGTGCGATACTAAACAAAAAAAAGGGTCTTATAGTAACGTAGTACAGTGCGGCATTTTAAGTTAGTACTGACTTGTGTTGCAAAGGAATTTTTCCACAATTATGGAAATAATCCCCTGCAACACTAGTGCTAGTACAGACATTCAAAAAAGAAAAATTGCACTCAAAGGTACATACGTACGTACTGTACATTCGTATGTGCGTATCAGTATGTAACGTAATCAATTTAATTCAAACATTACATATATATATATAGGTGTTTGAAAGATATCAAAAATTATAGAAGGCATGGATAGCGTAAATTTCTTAAATTTTTATCGTGGATTAATTATCAGCGCACAAGGAATACAACTTTCGGATTCTACTACTTATGATCTTAAGCCTCAACAAAAAAATGATTACGTAAAAAATACATCTTTTAATGCAAAATTAATGAATTCTACAACAAAAAAAGAATCGTTTTTGCTAAAAAATCACATTGAGATCTCTGCTAATGATTTGAAGCATGTTAGCCAGATATTTGATACTGACAAGAACATAAATTCTGCAATGGCCCTTCTAGCTGATGAATCCTCTACAAATGTTTTTCTAATAATTCAATGCGAAAAAGTCGAATTGATTATTAAAAAAGAATCAATAAAACCGTCTGATAAATTGACTGATGAAGTAAAAGAGGCTTTAAAACACTATGATCCTTATCATAAATTAATGGATGTATTTAATAATTATGGCTACTTTTTACCAAAAAAGATGATTTTAGGGCATAAAATATATAGAATGACTTATTTAACTATGGGCAAGGATTCAACGGAACCTAATGATAAAAATAATGACCTTAAATGGACGACACTTGATGATTTTTCAGAAAGTAAATTTAAAGATATCTTGAGTCAATGGGAAAAATACATGAGTTCTTATAATTTTGATTTATCTTATCTGGTATCAATTAATGGCGAATTTATTAAGAAAGATGAAATCGAAGCATGGATTGAGAATTGTTTAAAAAGTAATTTTAACTCATTACAAGTTATTGGCTGCAAAGAATTATATCCTTTGTATGAAATTTTTGACTTATCTCTTCGCCAAGAGGTTGAAAATATTCTTGGGATTAATAGTCAATTTGAATCTATTATTAGCAACCAATCTGTGTCTATTAATATAAAAGAAAGAGTTCTTATGGCAGGAGTAGTACCAATTAAAAATCAGTCTAATTCATATAATGTAAAATTTCGTAATTGTTTTAAATCCAATAATTATCAAGTTTTTGGAAAATTTATTACACAGGATGATGAACCAATTGACGATGTGATAATCAAATTCGATTTCATGGATACATACGGATTCTTAATTTTCATAGAAGATTAGTAAGTATTTATTATATGAACCATTAATTAATTCAATTTAAAACAGTGCACTAATTTCTTGTTTTTAGTGATTTCACGTATAAGAACCCAAGAATTACTTGGATGTTAATTGGAATACCTGCTGAAGTTGGATATTTTAGCCCAGATACACGAAAAATAAACGTATTGGGTTCTGGTCATAAACCATTTGTATTAAAGTCAAATAATAGTAATATCGTATTGAAAGTTCCGGAAAATTTGCCACAAGATTCTGTTATTATTGTCTCATTTAAATACCCACCTTCACATTATGAACCTAGCTTCATAGCTAAAATCAAAAGTTATCAAGATAATAAAATTTTATTTAATATACACTGCCCTGATTATGAATCTCCTAATAGTGATGATTCTAAGTCTTTTGATGACGAAGTGAATATAGATTCAAGGTCTAATGATGTTGAAGGTAATAACGAAGATTCAAGGTCTTTTGCCGATGAAGAAGTGAATAAAGATTCTAAATCTTTTAACAATGAAGATGTGAATGTAGATGTGAATGAAGATTCTAAATTTTTTAACAATGAAGATGTGAATGTAGATGTGAATGAAGATTTTAAACCTATCAACAATGAAGAAGTGAATGTAAATGTGAATGAAGATAGTGATTTTATTATTGATGAATATGACGAAGACTCTGACAGTAATGATATTAATAATTTAACAATGGATAATTTTCAATATGGAAAATCTAATTATAACAAAAGAGCTTCCAAAAGAAGTCAAATTAAGGCGCCAGAATATTCAGTCCAGTGGTTTATTCTCCGTAATTTCTCTGATATAACTGATTCATCTGAAACAATGATTTATCTAAACAAAATAGGATTTCATTTAATAAAACCATGTAAGTGATATTTATTAATATAAACGCATAATTTCAATGCATAATTTCTATACATGAAAATTACTCATAATCTTTTTTTTCTTTTAGCTCAGACACAAGGCGTATGGACCACATTAAATATGAATTATAGAAAGGAATTCTTCGATTTGCCAGATGAATGTATTCTTAAAATTTTTACCTATTTGAATGATGTAAAAGATCTTTACAATTGTTTATTTATCAACAAATTTATACATGGAATCGCTGTGTATATGTTATGGAAAAATCCTTTTATCAACAATGCGAGATGGAGGGATTCAATAATTCTAACTTATTTAAATGAATTAAATATAGAAGAGCAAAAAACGTTAATCCTCCTAAGAATTAATTTTCCTTTTATCAAATCACATTCAACCAAATATGCACCCTGCTTAGAAACTCTTGATTTACATTTTTTACATATTGCCTGTTTAAAATGGCTTGCTGGTACTGGCTACTTTTGCCAATGTGGCGAATTGCGTATAGTCCAGGCTGTCGTCTCTGCTATCGTTCGGATGGTTCTGCGTACAAATCGAAATCTTAAAATATTGAACATAAAGGTAGCTGAGGATGAGCCTGATGTCTCAAAAGCTTTCATTTTCTCTTTAAGTAAGCCGAGTATATCAAGTCTGCACTCTTTTCATCTTACACTTAATAACACCCCTACGAAAAAAAACGTATCTCAATTTCTAGCAAGATTGCCTGATTTATGTTTAAGTCTTTGCGATGTCACTTTTGACTTTGCTGAAACTGATATTGATGAAAAGGTTACTATGCTTTTAATTAAACTCATTAGAGTACAAAAAGCATTAGATCATTTCACTTTGAAATGTCGTGGTGCTATTGCTGGGAAATATATTGAGGCATTAGAGTCCCAAAAGAATCATTTAATGTCTCTGCATTTGGATAGATTAGATTTTAGAAAAATTTCGGATGACTCCTTGAAAGTAATTTCGCAGTGTAAAAAATTAAAGCATATCAGTATTTCAGCATTTAGTGGAATCACTGAGAAACACTGCAATGTCTTATATTTTTTATTGCCGAACTTAGAAACTCTATATATATCGGCAAACGACAGTACAAACGATTATATTGCTGTGGCTAATTTAGTCTGCGAGTGGCACTCAAATTTAGAGCTTGTAAGTAGGCCTGATACAATCAGAGTTTTTGCATCATGATTTCCGATTTAAGCAATCATTCTTGATTTTTTCAGTGAATCTTTAATATTTAATTTACTGTTTTTAATGAACGCGAAAACACAAAAGCAATAAGGCAAAAATTTAGTGTTAATTAAAATATCATATTTGAATGGTTATAAGTACCAGGCAAATTTTCTGATCTCTATGCCAGTTATTCTGTATGACCTTAATTTTTGTATGATTTATTACAAAATCAATTTATATTTCTTGTCGAGATTATAAATATTGTGATATCTTTATAAATTGTAAATTATATAAATACTAGTGAATGACCCGTACCTTCGGCACGGAATATCTAACCAATCAAATTACCAGAAGCTAGACAAATTAAAATATTTGCATAGGTGTTAAATAATACATATATATCATGCAAAAAAGAATACTTATTATTGAAATTATGAGAATCTGAAAATTTTCTACTTACTACTGAGATAGTGAGCACATTTCACTGTCAAAACGGGACTCTCATTATTGAATTATAAATCTCTATATTGAAATCATGAAAATATATATACCTATTGAATCATAAAAATATTGTTACAATTATTACCTAGTTAACACTAAGTTGTAAAGCCAGTTATCATTAAATGTCAACCACCATACTCATTGTTAAAAGCATGAATCAATCTATCATTAACCCATTTTGTCGGAATACTGTAGATCTTTTCCATAAAAACCTGCTATTGGCCGGGAGACATCTTATTTATTGGTTGCGCTTTTACTCGTGATCCGCCACATTTCCTTTTTGACTAAAACAGAAAAGATTTTCGTCGAAAAATTTTACCTTATGTTATACATGTACTATTCTATGTACACGCGTGCATAGATCAATTTGCATAAGCTCCCCGTAATTTTTTTATCGTACTCGGGTTGTATTTATAATTTTTGCTCGTATCACGTGAGCACCTGTTTAAATACCAGGAACGGAGTTTGTACAACGTACAACGTAGAGTATGGTTTATAGGCATCTGAAATGAGTACATCTATTTACCCATCAATACCATCAACACGTGATTAATGAATTTTAAAGAATTAGGATTAGGGTGAGGTTAGGAGAATGGTTTATATAAGTAAAATTGCTTTCCCGACACTTTTAATTAATGCTCCGAGATAGGTTTAGACTGCTGTTTTTTATATTTTTCATTTTCCTCTTTTTTCGCTTTGTTTTGCTTCGTCGGGCTGATCCGGGATGATCAAAATTTCTCTATTTGATTGGTCAATCATCACGTGTTGATGGGTAAATAGATGTACGCCATCTGAAATGGTGTGCCTCTTTTTTATCCGATTGGTTATTATAATCTTGTGACTTCGTCTTGTGATTTCTCGATTTTTACCTATAAGCTTTTGTCTATTGACACATGATAAAAAAAAAAAAATGCGAATTAGATGTTTGTGAGATAATTATCCTTTCTATATTATTAAATAATGTTAATTTCTCTATTTATTATCTCGACTTTTAACCTCGTCATCATTTATTAAATTATTCTTGATTTTACCCGTTTTTGTTCGCTGTTCTGACCGTATCGTTATATCATATGGAAGCAAAGTGGTTAGTACTGAGACATCTGCATAATTTCATATATTTTTAAGAAAGTTAAATACGATGTTTAGTAACTTATATAAA